TGATTTTGTCGATGAAGAGAGGAGTGTTAAGATGGACAAAAATGGCAAAATGGAGAACGATGATGCTGTCGATGAACCAGCAAAAATGGTTTTAATTTCCAATGAAGGCGGTCGCAACGAAGTTGCTAAAGATTTATTACTACAGTCCAGTGATTATTTTCAAGCCCTGGCAAACAGTGGAATGAGAGATGCAAACTTCAAAGAACTTACGCTGGAGTGTCTTTCTGACGCATGTCTACATGAAGTCGAACATTTTTTATCGAATGTACAAAGCAACGAGGATCATTTTGGTGCCAGGGACTTGTGCTACGTGGAAAAAGGTTTAGAGGGCTCACTCTATCTTCAAATTCAAAGCATGACAGATAAATATCTCAACAATTTATTTGAACTATTGAATGAATCAACTTACGCACGCATTTTGCAGTTCGCCAACAAGTTCGCCGTGTTTGGAGCAATCGAGAGAGTTTTTGAGTTCATTTTCGACAATTTTAAGTGTATTATCTCGAGATCCGAAATACTATCACTGTCACCAGATGGAATGATACGCTTGGTTGAATCGGAGCTAGTTAATGCTGTTCGCGAGTTAGATATTTTCGATTTGATTATAAGATGGACTGCAGCTGACGAATCTAGAGAGCAGTATGCAAAACAACTGTTCAGAAAGGTGAGGTACAATTTGATGGCGGTGCATGAAAAAATGAAGGCTAAAAAGGTACTTAAAAAGTTAGAAATAAATATTCGGAGTAAAGGCCATGGTTTTCGTACAGTTGGCACGATATTAGGTTTCGGATATTCCAGGTTCAAGGTTAGCTAATCTTTCTTTCATTTGTTCACACGTTTTTTTATTAACAAAGAGTGTAATTTTACATTTTTTGTCAGTCAATTTGAAGTTAGCAATGCTCCTAAGAATTTTTTAAAATTTTCATATCAATGGTTTAATTTTTTCTTCATTTTTTTTTATTCTAGCTTTTTACGTTGTTATAATTTAGACTTCCACATTTCCCATCTTCAAATCATTTTTGTTACTATGACCACTCTCCTTCGAGGTTAATCAAGGGCGCATGGAATTTTTTCTCTAATTTTTATTCTTGCTGGATGTGCACTTTTCTTCACAGCGTCCATTCAAGCAACACGAAAGCAACATGAAACTGGGTCCACGACAAATACTGCAGCGCACCTCGGTTACTTGGCACTGAAAACCGCAAATTCATGAAAATTTACTAGATCCGCTCTAAGATACCGCGGCATATTTTTTAACCGAGTCGATGGTTATTACACCGTGGTGGAAACAGTGTAAATTACTTGGTCTGCGTCGTGGTTTCCCTTTGCAACACACACACACAAAACATTGATGATCTTAATATTTTCAAAATATTTTTTAAATATCGATTAGCTTATTCCATGCATGAAATTAGTAGAATTTAGTTAATAAAACAATAAATTACTTTACAGATTGGCAGTCCTAAAATTGGCTGTTCTCTATCCATTTATGACTTTCTCAAAACTATAACCAACAAAGCCAATCAGTCTCCCGTAGTCGTCTTCAAACCTACTAAGATTTGGAGACAGAGTTCTCATTTTCGGAATTACAGTAGTCACAGAGTTTGTGCAGCTAACAACAGAATTTATTTCGCAGGGGGTTATTACAGATATAATTTACCAAAAGACCTTGTCAAAGTGTACAATACAATCACCCGCAAGTGGTCACGAGTTAGACTGATTTTTTTAAATGTTTTCAAGCCTGTTCAAATATTTTCATTTTCATAAAGATGAGGCTAATTAATCAACTTGAAAGATTTAATCGCACCTGCAATGTCATTATAAAACTTCAGTTAACCTGAATGAGTTGCAAATGTGTCCATTCATTATTTCAAATGTAATTTTAACGATTCTAATTTTTATTAACATTAATTAAACCATTGTTAACAATGATTTTCACAACTTCCAGCTATCTAATATGCTTGTCGCAAGAGGTTTTTTCTACTTCGGTGAGATGGGAGGACATTTGTATGCGGTTGCTGGCGAGGGAGTTACTGGCGAGAATACTCGGACGGTAGAGAGGTACGCTCCAGATAAAGACAAATGGAAGATTATTGCACCTCTGCCTATTGCTGTCCTGGCACCATCAGGTTTGGTACATTTTGTTTTGAAACAACATTTCTTGCCAGTGTTGTAGCGGAGACCTGGGCATAAGTGTAGCCTCATTAACATGTTACTGAGGCGTGAAATAAAGTAAATACTGTTTCACTGGATGAGAACACTACAAAAATGTGTATCGTAAAATTATTTACTCTTTTGCAATTGTATCTTAAAGAATAATGACGTACTTACTGAAAATTACTCGAAAACGGCAAAATCGCATAAGGGACCATGGATATAAATATTATATCCATGCAAGGGACATTATTTACTGGGCAATTTGCAGACATAAACACGACAAATTCAGCTAGTTCGTTGACATTAATAGTTATAATTATAAAACGCTTGCCGGTATATTACCGGTTATAAATAAGCACATTTACCCAGCTAGTTCATAAATGCCCCTGTCTCCCTACACTAATAAATAATTTTCATTTGCAGGCACTGCACGCAACGGTATGCTCTATGTCAGTGGGGGGATGATATCATATCGTAATCCAGCCAACAAGATGTATATGTACAAACCCGCGCTTAAGCAGTGGTTTGAAAAGGCTCCGATGTTGGCTGGACGTTATGATCACGCCATGGCTGCGTTAGGAGACAAAATTTTCGTCTTTGGAGGAAATTGTTTAAGAATCGTAAATGGTTTAGAAAGCTTTGAATTATCTGCTCATGTTAGTTTGTTGTTTGGTTTTGTGCATGCAGCTGGTAACTGGTTTCTGGTTTTGTTAATGTTTACTGTTTACATGAGATCATGATATTTCAATTTCCTAAGCATTTTGCTAGCGAATTGTTCTCGTCAAAATAATTTAACTTTGGTTCATATGAAAATTTAATGAAATAATTAAACAGGACGGAGAGATGTTTGATTGCAAAGCTGAGCAGTGGACGCAAATACTGAGAAACAAGGTGCCTTCTTACAGCGTTAGACATCACATGCTCATCAACGACTCCCTGTTCTGTTTTTTCCACGATCTAGGCAAACCTCATTATTCTATACTTGAAATCAAATTGAAAAAGTATCTGGGTGTCAACAAACTCAAGAATCCCTCCAATGATAATGATGACGATGATACAGCTAGCGAAGACGAATGCCATTCTTACATATTACGTGTCCCAAAGCATCATCAACTTCGTCACGTTGTCTTTATAAACAAGCCACTATAATTGCAGATGAATGTGATTTCAATTTATCGAGATTTTTTTTGGTAACGATCATTTTGTATGTGTGTGATTGTGTGTGTGTTTTTGTTTTTCTATATTCGTGAAGAGCGACGATATTGATGCAACAAGATTTCATCAACACGGATGTCCCAGGATTCAGCGAAGAATCGCGACTTAAATGCGTGTCGTTATTTTCCATGAAAGCTATGCCGTACTCGCGGCTGAAACATGGATATCCATGGGCTGAAATTATTTTAAAAACCTGCCTTCTCAGTGGTGTTCAACTTTCATTGTTACATACATATATGAACACGCTATTCGTTGACCAGGTTCTTCGCTTACCACGTGGTACGGTCATGATAGTTTAGATTTTTCGTTTGTTTTAATGTGAATAACTTTATTTTATAACTAGTTGCTACTTAAATTAATTTCTTTTATGTTCATCCATCCTTTATATGTGATTTATTTTTTGCTTTGGGGTTAATATTTATTATGTATCGTGATCAATATTTTTATTCAATAAAATACACCAAACAAATTAATTAATTCATTCATTTTTAATATTATTAAAGAAAACCTTTCTATCCATAAAGGCATCAGCATGCTATACAAACCTTTGATATTTCACCACTCTACTATCATAATCATTTTAAAATCTTAACTCTCTTTTTAAAATTGAATGTTATCTTACCTTCGTTACCGTGAAAGTGTTCACCGTTTGGTTGCAAAAAGGGATATTTTTCAAATTCAGCGATTCACTACTATCCATTCAAATCCCTGAGGATTTTCTGCAGAATGGATTAACAGAAACAGACGCAAAAATTTTACCCCATGAGTATGTATTATATATTTTAAACATTCCAACTTCCTTGAAAAGTAGTCTCTTATCAATTCGGCCCGTTAGAAACCAAATGGAGGCGTCATCAAGATGAGAACTTGATGTCGAAATTGTTGGAACTGCTCCCAGCGTATTTTCACTCGCGCCATCTCGCCCGTTGAAACGAAATCAATAAACGCAGTCCACAACTACTAAATCGTCAACTTGATGTCGAAATTGTTGTTTTTAATGAATCATCAAAAAAGCAAACCTGGAATCTATGTCAAAAAAATAATTACGTCTTTGTTACTCTCATACGTATAATTTCGTATAATTTTTACATTTCATTCTTATATTTTTTATTTGGCATACATAGTAAAAGTAATTTTGAATAAATTAAAAATGCAAGTCGAGTTTAAAACAATCAACATTATCGTGAATAGGTAATTTAAATTTTAAAAAATTGGTGTAAGTATAAGAAGTGGGATTTTATTGATCTTTGGAGGTTTGTTATCCTTTATCAGGTAAACGCTATTGGGGAGTGTTTAAATCTGTTTATGTGTGTGTGTGTGCGTGTGGTGTGTGTGTGGTGTGTGTGGTGTGTAGTCTTCAAAAGTTGATGAGTTTGTTCAAATTTTTTCTGATTATTTTCAATTTTCCCGCCATTGATCTACTGCAACCTCTTTCACAGAGGTCGGACAGATCGTAATGTCTCACTTCCTTTGTCATTTTCACGGAATGGTTTTTCATTTTGGAACCCTTGCTGAAACTTTTTGATACCGATCTAATTTCTCCATTTTTCCTCGTTTTTGGTGAAATTATATTGTCACCAGTCTTGTAACTGGCCGTGGTAATATTCTTTTTGTTTTGGTTGTTGCCATCAACATTTTGTTTGTTGTTATCAACATTTCGGTTGTTCTCGTCAACGATGACATCACTAGGCAAGCACGTGACAATCAGCTGATCGACAAGACTGCTGATGATGATCTTTGTGTGGTCACAAGCAAAGTTAACCTACGTAAAATTGGCAGACGATAGTGAATTACATTATTTATTTATTTATACATTTATTTATTTAGTAATAAATCATTAAAATTATGAAAACTCGGTATCATTTTCGGACTTGCAAAGTAGCTTAAAGGGTAGAGATGCGTTAAGTTCCCCATCATGTCGTTGTCATTGTGCAGTGACCTGGTTCAAAATCCTGCGCTATCGCTTCATGGACGTACATACAGATGATATGTATGGACGTCGTGTGTGTGTGTGCGTGCGTGCGTGCGTGTGTGTGCGTGTGTGTGTGTGTGCGTGCGTGTGCGTGTGTGTGTGTGTGTGTGTGTGTGTGTGGTGAACGTCGTGTTACAGTTTGAATGTTACAGTTTGTTATTTCACAAAAAGTGAAATAAAATGATTAAATTCTTAGCGAGGCCAAATTTGATCAAAATTAAATTTAAAAGACGCATAAAAATGGCAATATATATATATATATATATATATATATATATATATATATATATATATATATATTATATATATATATAGTGCCTCTTTTATTATTGATATTATTACTAGAAATGCCTGATTCAACATTGGTCCAAGTTCAACATTGCTAATCTCACGTAAGACATCTTTTTATTGGAAGTCGAAGGTGTATAATAAATATGAGTCACTGATCGAACTCAGTGCGTGCGTGTGCGTACGTGTGTGTGCGTGTGTTTGTGTGTGTGTGCGTGTGTTTGTGTGTGTGTGCGTGTGTTTGTGTGTGTGTGCGTGTGTGTGTAATAGAATAGTCATTATTGTTGGTTCTCCGATTACTAGTGTATATCGCACGCCAGTCCAGTACTCAAAGCACACACACACACACATACACACACACACATATACACACATACACACACACATACATACACACATACATACACACACACATACATACACACACATATATATATAATCTAAATAAATAAATAAAACCATTTCTTCCCCCCCCCAAAAACCTGGAATGTTCCGTTGGAAAGTTGCATTATTATGCCATCTTCGCTTCTATACCACTTTGAGATGAAAACTGCTCCCGGTGACGATGATGATGATTGTTGTAAGGATGATGATGATGATTGTAGTAAGGGTGATGATGATGATGAGGAGGAGGAGGATCGTTGTGATAATGATGGTGGGAACGGTGGCGGTGCTGATGATGATGATGTTTTTGAAGAGTTCTTTTTCGAATTTCGTATCACATCATCATCATCACCACCCAGTCTCTTTTTATCATCACCATCATCCTCATCATAATTATTATTATAATTATTGTTATTGTTATAATTATTATTATTATTAATATTATTACTTTTATCATCATCGCCATCATCATCATCGCCATCTCGTCTTTGATAAAGTTTTTGCTGACGGTCTCTTGCATCATCACCACTAGCATAGTCGTCATCATCATCAACATCGTCATCATCATCATCAACATGGTCATCATCATCATCATCGTTATGACCATTATCATCACCAATATCACCACCCTCATCATCTTCGTTATCTTCAGTATTTTTCCCATTTTTGCCGATGATGTACGATGATGATGATGACGACGATGATGATGATGATGACGACGATGATGATGACGACGATGGTGGTGATGCTTTCTCCTTATTATCTTCAGTTTTGTTTTTATCCATTTCGCTTAATGCCCCATTATTATTATTGTTGTTGTTGTTGTTATTATTATTATTATTATTATTGCCGTTATTATAATTACTATTATTGTTGTTGTTATTATTATAAAGTTTCTTTTTCATCTTGTTTAGCTTATAAATATTCATTTTCGAGGCTGTTGTGATGTCATTATGTAAATAGCTATTATTATTATTATTATTATTTATATTATTATTATTATTATTATTACCACCAGGATCAACACCGTCATAACTACTGTTTTTACAGTCACGTGACGAGCAGGATGACCTCGGCGTTGACCTTTCCGTTGACCTTTCCTCGATGACCTCGAGGGGACTCAGGTATTGCGTTTTGTATTTTTTGTTTTTGAATTTGTTTTTGAAACTTTTATTATTGTTATTATTATTATTACTACCATTGAATTTTAATTTTATATTACAATTTTTGTTAATATTATTATTATTGTTGTTGTTATTGTTATTATTATTATTATTATTATCATCATCATTGTCAAGTTCGCAATAGAACTCTATCCTCACACCACAACGTTCATCCCCATACTCACTATCATCACCATCACCAACTTTATCGTCATCATAACCAGCCTCCTGGTAATCATTATCAGCAGAGCCACTACCGCCATCATCATCGTCGTCATCATCACCATTCCCCGATGACGTCACGTCTATGCCGGATGATTTCAGTGTGTCTTGTATGTAGGATCTGATGAGAGTTAGGACAGCGAGTTTAGATCGATGTTCGTCGTTCATTTTGTGCTCGCAGGGAAGGCGCCATTTCGATGGAAAGCCAAATTTGTCGGTGTAGTGTAGTTTGCTGTTTTTAAAGATTGGACGGTTCGTTTTGTTGTTTTTAAGATTTGAATATCAACATCATCGTCGTCATCATCACCATCATATCATACCATTGTGACCATAATCAACAGAAATATAAACTTCATCTGTCTTATCATCAACATCCTATCGTTACAACTGACAACAATTCTTTCATCCGTTTACCTATTCATTCATCCAATTCATTCATTCATTCATTCATTCATTCATTCATTCATTCGTTCGTTCGTTCATCCATCCATCCATCCATCCATCCATCCATTCATTCATTCATCCATTCATTCATTCATTCATCCATCTGTCCATCCACGAACTTGGAGTTCCCCACCAGCACCATGCGGCTGGCGTCATTGAAGAGGACCCCTGTACTTTCGTCTGAGAGTTGGTAGCCAAAGCCATACTTGTTCGTAAAATCGACCCATCTGTGAATTTTCGTTTCTCCAAATTTGAATCTCCAGAGTTTAATCTCCATAAAATGTTTTGTAAAATAATTTAATGCTCTGAAATCAAAGATTACATTACATTACATTACTACTAACCCTAGCAATAACTGCAACAACAGCAGCAGCAGCAGCAACAACAACAACAACATCAACAACAGCAGCAACAACAACAACAACAAAAACAACAACAGCAACAACAAAAATAACATAATTCACAGCCAGTTTTGCAATAAATAAAAGGTAAGACTCCCTTACCATCATTCGTTCATTTTTTTTTCATTCGTTTGTTCGTTCATCCGTAAACCCATCATTCAATCATTCATTTATTTATTCATCCATCTATCCATTCATCCATTTATTCATTCATTCATTCGATCGTTCGTTTGTTCGACTGTTCTTTCATTCATTCACTCATTCATTCTTTCACCAAAGGCTACCTAGTGACGTAGATGGGACAGAAATCACCCAGATCCAATTCCCGTGCCGTGTCAACTGATATCATACAAATGTTGGATAATATTTATTTGGTACAACGGTACTCACCTAAGTACAGATGTATCTTGATACAAACATAAGTACATGCATACTCAACAGATACAGTGGTAGATACATGCATGACAGTAAGTACATATGCACTTGAAAGATACACTGATGCAGAATAAGTACATACATGATACATACGATGATGTGTAGGTAAGCACATTCAATACATACACAAATACTTGTATTTCAAATACATACAATGATATATTTACAGTATAAGGTGATACAAATATGAATGTATGTGTACATAAAATACATACTTACCTTTGTATATTGTACTCAAACATCTTCCCAAGGTTGTATGCAGATCAGGTGCTGTGTGAGGTTTTGTTTGTTTGTATGTGCGTATGTGTGCGTGTTTGCTTGTACGTGTATGTGTTCCTGTTCGCTCGTTTGTTTGTTTCTTCGTTCGTTCGTTCGTTTGTTTGTTTGCATATATTATAAATACTATAAAATAAATAAATAAGTTAATATGCATTATTATTTGCATGTAACACTTTATTAAAGATGAATTTTACATGCATGAATGTACAAATTATAATAATGTACAATTATAATAATAATTATTATTATTCTTATTATTATTATTATAATTATTATAAGAATTATAGTCGTAATAATATTGCATATAATTATAAAACCCTCTTAAGGCTGAATGGCTTAAAATGAACTAAAGGAGTAAAATGATATTCACCTTTTAGAGAATATCTTTTGGTTGACATTTTCTTATTGTTGTTGTTGTTGTTGTTGCTGCTGCTGCTGCTGTTGTTGTTGTTGTTGCTGTAGTAGTTGTTTGTTGTTGTTGTGAATTCATAAAGTTTCCTCTTATCTTCCCACGCCCATTTTCAATGTTTCCTTAATAGGAAAAGTATTGTGAAATATTAAAATATAAATATGTTGTGTTACACAACAAACACTACTACTTACACTTACTACTATTCTACTAATTATACTAACTACTATACTAAATACTCCTGCTACTACTACTACTACTACTACTACGACTTTTGCTGCTACTATATTATAGCTTCAAACACACACACACACACACACACACAAATACAAACAAAAACACGCACGTATGTGCACAACGAAAAACAAACATATATTGATGATAGACCAATCGAAATTTATCATTGTACAAACAAATACAATGGTGCCTCTTCAGAAATACATTTTTTGTATTATGATCTTTTTTATTTCTTTTATTCTTCAGGTATATTTAATACTAAACTTTTACAATGACTACGAAATAACGAGTAGAATTTTTTTTATTTACAAATGTAAATTTCCGAAAAAATAAAATTCGCCAGCCCTGATGGAATCTAATCAAATTTTTGCCGCGTCATGCCCACACACACACAGAGAGAGAGAGAGAGAGAGAGAGAGAGAGAGAGAAAGAGAGAGAGAGAGAGAGAGAGAGAGAGACACATACATACATTTAATAATAATTACGCAGATCAAAGCCCTTATCTGTTTCATCTGACCATTAATTTCTTACGTAAATAAAATGCTATCTACTTATATTAACACTTGTATTAATTAAATTCATGAATATCTATAAAGGCATTTAAATAAACACACAAACATACACACACACAAACATAAACACATAATAATAATAAAACCCACATGATGCATGCTTATGAAAAATAGGGTAGGGCTCAAAAATAGGGCAATCTCCTCAATTGAACCGCGGGCTAACAGAAACCCCTCAAAAAAATTTGTCATTTCGGGTGAAATATATCAAACATTGAAAGCAATTAAACTGGTGATACTGTTATGCTTGCTAGCTTTCTAAGCTTTAATAATTGTTTGGACTAGGCAAACAAAACGATCCTGCTATATTCAAAAGCGATGAAGATGTTATTATATTTATAAGGAGGTGTCTTTTTGTTGACCTAACATTCAAAGTTTTTATTGAACGTAGCGTAAGAAAAAAAAATTTTGTTGCCTGCGTGTTAACAGACGACTTAAAACGAATGACCTATGACCTTTAATAACGAAACGTGCGATTGGTTGGTATGATTGAATTTATGTCACGTGTACAAATTACTACCTAAGACAATTTCCTACTATCTCCGAGTTTGCCTTCGATCTTGTATTTATAGATTGGTTTTCTAGCACTTGTCCACATACACAAATACATACACATATACATGCATGTATATACAAATGTGAATACATACAAATACATACACATATACGTGCATGTATATACAAATGCAAATACATACAAAGACGTATGCATACATACACAGCAAGAAATATGCCGAATGCAACCACACAAAAGCACCATTGAAAACCTGCGATTGGGAGCGGTTAATCTCAAGTTGGCGGGAAAGTTTTACGATGTCTATGTTTGACTTGTTTCTCATAATATCGCCCATGACGTCATCAATAATGTTGAATTCGTTGTTCACGTCATTCATCTTTTTGAAATTATTATTGTTGTTGGTGGTGGTGGTGGTGGTGGTGGCGGTGGTGGTGGCGATGGAAACTTTCCTCGTTTTCTTATTTTTATTATTATTAAAAAACAGACGCTCTGTCATGCTTCCTTTCTGCTGATCATCATCACGACCATCACCATCATCGTCATCATCATCGCTATTATCATCACCATCATCATCATCTTTTATGTTTTTTATTGGCATTTTATTATCACATTCATTATTATTATTATTATTATTATTGTTGTTGTTGTTGTTGTTGTTGTTGTTGTTATTGTTATTGGAACCGTGCGGTTGTTGATGGTGACGACCGTGACGATCGTGGTGATTAACTTTTCCATCCTTATATTTAATACGAGTAGAGCTTGTCGGTGACGTTTTTGGTGACGCTGTAGACGATGACGTCATCGTTGTTGGCGGTGTGGTCGTTGTGGCCAACGCCGTCGTTGTGGCTGACGTCGTCGTTGTTGTCGATGCCGTTTTGTTATGCACGGCAGCTGCAGATGACCTTTTGCGACTTCTGTATAAATTAACATTATTGACGTTTGTAGTAGTAGTAGTAGTAGTAGTAGTAGTAGCGGTAGTAGCGACAGTAACGGCAGAAGTGTCAGTAGTAGTGGCAGTAGTAGTAGCAGCAGTAGTAATTAGTTTAGGATTGTGTGGTAGGGGTAGTAGCAGCAGGGGATCTGGCTTGAATGGCGACACGACGGCGCACTGCTTCTTCTCCTTGTCTACAGCCAGCATCGACTTGGCTCTGAAATTAAATTGGAAGGTTAAAAGACATTTTTCTACCTAATTTTTTTCGGAGGTATCACCCCGAACCATTCACCACACACCGCGTGTGTGATTTGCGGGGGTCACTAAGAGGTCACTGAGAGAGATGACCAGATGAATTTAAGCATTGATAAGCATTGATCAATCACGTTGATTAGATTAGCTGGTCAATCAACTAATCGTTAATTAATCAATCCCAAACTAACTTACTACTGCTACTACTAATACTGCAACTACCACTACTACTATTAATTAATTAATTGATTAATTAATACTGCAACTACTACTTCTGTTAATTAATTAATACTGCAACTACTACTAATAATAATTAATTAATTAATACTGCAACTACAACTTCTATTAATTAATTAACACCACAACTATTACTAATATTAATTAATTAATTAATTAATTAATTAACTGACAAACCTAGTCACAGAGGGTGTTTTGATGTCAGGAAACTTGGGTCTGGTGAAGCAGCAGGACGGTGCAAGTGAAGTTGGCGCGAAACCAGTTGTGAAAAAATCCTCGTACAAAACCTGACGACGATGATGATGACGATGATGATGACGATGGCGAGGATGATGATGACGATGATGATGGTGACGATGGTGATGACGATGATGATGATGATGATGACGACGACGATGATGATGGCGACTAAATGATCGATTGAATAACTAAATAGCTAGCCTGGTCGATGCAAAGTCTGTTCGTAGGATCCAAGTCCAGAAGTTTGACGATGAGGTTCCTAGCTGGGGCAGAAAGATGAGGCGGGAGGGTGTAGGTGGCAGTCGAGATGCGGTCGTAGGTGGCCCTCAGGGTGGCCGTCTCAAAGGGCGTCACCCCACAGAGCATTGTGTACCTTTTTTTTGGTTGGGCATGCGATTGCAAAATTATGAAGATACCCTCACATATACTTAAACGAAGTTGAATAATAAAAATAAAAATTATAAAAATATGAAGATAAATAAATGATAAATAAATAATATTAATAATTAATTAATTAGTTATTAATTATTGCACAGGTCTGCGAAATAATTTATGATGGAAATAAGGTGATTTTGAAAAGCAGCGATAGTAATAACATCTGCAATGATGATGTTGTAAATATGAAAAAAAGATAATAATTTTTATTATTATTGTTTTTGTTTTTGTTATTATTATTATTATTATTATTATTATTATTTGTCTAGGAACAGATCTACCAACATTATGCAACCAATAGACCAGACGTCGACCTCGAAACTGTAGAACCTTCTTCGAATCACCTCAGGGGCTACGTAGTTCGGAGTACCGCATATGCTTCTGTGTAGTTTTTGAAGTCACACACGTGTGTGTGTCACACATGTGTGTCATGTGATGTGTGGTGTGTAAGTGTGGATATGTGATGTGTGGTGTGTATGTGTGGATATGTGATGTGTGGTGTGTATGTGTGGATATGGGATGTGTGATGTGTATGTGTGGATATGTTATCACGTGATGTGTGGTGTGTGTGTGGATATGGGATGTGTATGTGTGGATATGTTATCATGTGGTGTGTATGTGTGGATATGCTATCATGTGGTGTGTATGTGTGGATATGCTATCATGTGGTGTGTATGTTTGGATATGTTATCACGTGATACGGGGCGATGTCATCATGTGATGTTACAAAATCACTACCCAAAACATCATTCCCACAAACGAACTTCTTCCTTTCGTCAAGAAGCGAGACCTGTGTAGCTAGGCCGAAGTCGGCTATCTTCAGCTGCATACTTCCGTTAAGCAGTAGGTTGCTTAACTTTAGATCCCTGTGGATAATCCGCTTGCTGTGGATGTAGCGGCAGCCTTCCACCAGCTGGCGCATGTAGTAGCGCACTTCCGGTTCCGTTAGAGTTCCTCTGCGCCTCATGACGTCATCTAAGGACTGTTTTGTGATTGATCGGTTGGTTGATTTGTTGGTAGGATGATGTGTTTTATATTATGGTTAGCATCGTCATTTTTGACATCAGTTATGCCATGTCATCGTTGAGACCATAATTGCAGTTGTCTGAGTCGCCACCATCATCGTCAACATCATCATCATCATCATCATCATCGTTATTTTCGTCATCTCCATCATCATCAACATCATCATCTCCATTATCATCATCATCTTTTTTATTATTCTTTAAGAAATCAGAAACTGACAGACGCAGAAACTGTTACAGCATGTAAGGCAGTAGAATAAAAAGATAATGAAATATATAAATAAATAAATAAATAAAGAAGATAAAAATGTTTAAAAATGAAAAGTATTGAAAATAAAATAATCTAAGTCACAACCTTCCTACTGCAAAGTTCGAGAACGAGGTAGACATTGTCCTGATCTTCGAAGTAGCCATGGAATCCGACGATGTTTTCATGCGAGAGACCTTGATGCAGTTGGATCTCTATGCACATCTGTTCGTTTGTGTGCGTGTGCGTGCGTGTGTGTGTGTGTGTGTATGTGTGTGTCCTCAGCCATTACTATTGTTATCATCTCCACCCTCTTCTTTCATCGTTATTGTCTCTCTCTCTCTCTTTCTCTCTCTCTCTCTCTCTCTCTGTTTTCATTCACATCGTTCTCTTTTTTTACTATTTTATTTTTCTACAACTCACTTACTAACCTTTCTCTCTCAACATAACTATCTCTCTTTTTTCACTCTTTTTTCTTTCTCCTTCTTTTTTCATTTAACCTATTTTCCTCTCTTTATCTCTCTCTCTCTCTTTCTTTCTTTCTTTCTCCCCCTCTCTCTTTTGCTTATTCACCTCTTATATTTTCATGAATTTCACATTCCTTGCTTACGTTTCGACTCTTTTTCTCTCTATCCCTCTCAATCACCTTTTCAATCTTCTCTCTATCTCTCTCTCTCTTTCTTTCTCTCTCTCTCTTTCTCTCCCTTTCTCTTTTTCTCGATATAACAATTTGACCTTTGTGAAGCCTAGAAAACAAGTGAGAGACGGCCATTTGACTTAAAACAAAAGTGTCTTCACTCTCTCCGCTCAAGTGCTGTTCAGCTTATCAAAATTGTTCATATCTACAGTACGGCAAGCAGTTTTCAAGGAGTGTGTATGTGTGTATGTATATCTTTTTTCTATTCTTCTGTCATATATTTTAAATTCTCTCTCCCTCTCTATCTCTCTCTTTTTCTCTTTCTCCTTCCTCTCTCTCTCTCTCTCTCCTCTCTCCTTCTGTTAATTCTCATTATTTTGTAACCTTTCGTTCCATCATCAATTCAATCTATAATTCATCATAAAATTGAAATTTTGATAGCTAAAAATATTTCTATTTTTCAATCATTCCTTCATCTATGCATTCGTTAATTCGTTCACTCATTCTCATCCATGCATTCATTCATTTATTCATTCATCATTCATACATTCACTCGTTTAAATCATTCCCTCATTTAAACATTCTTCATTTATTCAATTTTTCATTCGTTTCTAATGATACCAAACATCAAACTAGAATTAGATGCATTTTTTGTTGCATGTAAATTTAGCACCAAAAACGCACACATATTTACACACACAAACAAACAAACACACATACACAGACACTTTTACACACACACACACACACAAACATACATACACACACATAAACACACATACACACACATAAATATAATATATATATATATGTGAACTCTGTGACGCAACTTGATCCCATGTGTAATTGGTATAACCGGCTCAAGTTGATTTTATAATAAATTAAACTCACATTAAAATCTAGAATCTAATTTATTTTATTTAATTAAAATTTCACGTACACACAAACACAGAAACACACGCACACACATACAAACAAACAAATACACACACGTACACACACACAAACAAACACATACATACATGCATACATGTCTGTCTATATACATTATTGGCCGCGGTTTGTCTAATTTGCATTCACCATATGTTGAATAATGAGATAATTAATTAACCAAATGTAACTTGATAACTGTATATATGTGTATGCAAATGTATGTATGTCTGTTCACGCACACACACACACACACACACAAACAAACAAACACACATACACACACATACACATTACACATACAAACACTGACAAAACATACAAACACTAGTCACAATAGCACCATTTGGAAGGCTGAAGTGCCGTTAAGCGGGAAAAAACATACAAACAAACAAATACACACACATATATATACACACACATACATACACACACACACACATACACATATTTGTTTAAACCTTTTCTTTTTGCTTGGGTTTCTTCAATAAACTTTTTGAAACAGTCTTCCCCGCGTAAACAGCATTCGTTGAACAATCGATGAACTCATAACAGGTGGCAAATCCACCCTGATTCATTATTGGTTGGTTGGTTGGTTGGTTGATTGGTTGGTTGGTTGGTTGGTTGGTTGTTTGGTTGGCTGGTTGGTTGGTTGGTTGGTTGGCTGGTTGGTTGGTTGGTTGTTTGGTTGGCTGGTTGGTTGGTTGTTTGGTTGAATGGTTGGTTGGTTGGTTGGTTGGTTGTTTGGTTGGTTGGTTAGTTGGTTGGTTGTTTGGTTGGCTGGTTGGTTGGTTGTTTGGTTGAATGGCTGGTTGGTTGGTTAGTTTGTGCAAATAGTAGTAGTAGTAGTAGTAGTAGTAGTAGTAGCAGCAGCAGCAGCAGCAGCAGTAGTAGTAGTAGTTGTAGTAGTTGTAAGTAGTAGTAGTAGTAGTAGCAGCAGCAGCAGCAGTAGTAGTAGTAGTAGTAGTAGTAGTAGTAGTAGTAGTAGTAGTAGTAGTAGTAGTAGTAGGTAGTGGCAACAACCTTTCCCAGGAATCTCCCCCTTCTATACTTTTTTCCATTTTTGTGATCGACTATAAAAGCATCACCAGCGCGAAATTCGTAGTCGTAACTGGGCGGCATCATCACGTCGATCCCGGGTTCAAACGCATGCACGGGCGGAAGCTGCTCCATCCAGAGTTTCTCAATCACCTGTTTTGTGTGGTGGTTTGACCTCGGCGTGGAGGATATGATTTCGTCAATTTTGCCGTTTGAGACGTTTGAAACGTTGTTGTCGTTGATGTAGTAATTGTGGTTGTTGTAGTTGTGGTTTTTGTAGTTTTGGTTGTTGTAGTTGTGGTTGTTGTAGTTGTGGTTGGTTTTGTAGTTTTTGTTGAAGTCGTCGTCGTCGTTGCGATCACAGTTGACATATTCAATATTCATTGGTGCCTGGTTGTAGTAGTAATTGTTGTTGTTGATGGTCAGAGTCAGTCGCGACGATCGCGGCTTCTGCTGCTGCTGCTGTAGCTGCTGCTGTTTTTGGTGAAGGTCCTGCTTGTATACATCAAGTTGGTGTTGTTGATTTGGTTGCACTTGTTGCTGTCGTTTCAGCAACAACTGTTTATGCTGTTGCTCGATGTCTGGTCTACGATGTATTTTAATTCTCAAAGGTGAACTTCTGGGCGTCATCTTCTCTGAACTGTTGTTAATGTTTGCATTTGTTGAGTTGTTGATGTCGTTTGTGTTGACAACATTTTGTTGTTGCTGTTGTTGCTGTTGTTGTTGCTGCTGCTGCTGGCTATGACGAGATGAAACATCTTCAACAAAAGGCATTTTAACACGGAGGATGTTGTGATCGGTCGTGTTGTTTAAATTGATGTCAGTGTTGTTGTTGTTGATGTTGTTGTTGTTGATGTTGTAGTTGTTGATAATAGAGAATAGTTTGTTGATTTCATGATTGTTGTTGCTGCTGTGGTGAGTATTTGTATGGCCTTTAGTTTTAGTGGCTGAGTCATACTCGTTGATTTTTGAAACTTTTTTGTGAAATTTTTTCTCTTTCAATTTCTTCTTCCGTGCGTATGGAAACAAGCAGGTAACGCATTTCGACTTGGCAATTACCGTTGATTTGTCCCCGTCAGATGTTGACAACATTGTTGACAACATTGTCGTTGTTGTCGTTGTTGCTGTGATTATCGGTGTTGTATAGCGTTTGTTGCTGTTGTTATTGATGTTAGTGACGTCATTATAAAAGCCACCAATATTTCCCGCCACGGCAGCCACGCCAACACTATTACGATGCGTTTTGTTGTGGTTATTGTTGCCATCAATGTTGTTGTTGTTGGTGGTGTTGTTGTTGTTGGTGGTGTTGTTGTTGTTGGTTGTGATGCTTTTATTGAGGTTGTTCTGGTTTTTGTAATAACTACCGTTATTAGTATTGGAACAATTGGTGCTACTACTGTTGGAAAAGTTGTTATTAACGTGGTTGCTGTTGTTGTAATTGTTGTAATCGTTGTAATTGTTGTTGTTGTAATTGTTGTTGTTGTTGTAATTGTTGTTGTTGTAATTGTTGTTGTAATGGCTGTTGTTGTCGTTGTTGTGGCCAACGAAGTCAAAATTACACGAGAGAGGTCGTTTTTTCGCCAACATCCCCGAAAATTCAGTGCCTGACATTTTTTTAGTTTTCAGCATACTGCTATCAAGTTAAATTAAACTAACTAATATGGAGGAGTTTTAATTCAATTTTAATTTTTTTAAATATTTCTACTTAATTCAAAGTTGTAATTAAACAGAAAAATAAACAAAATTTTTAAACATGCAAATGTATAACCAATGAATAAATAGCTAAATGGAAAAATAAATATTCATCAGTAAAATAACGAATGTGAAGGTATTAAATAAGACGAGTGAAAAGAATACAAATTAGAATATAAATAGATTTAAATAAGTTAATTAGTTAATTAACTAACGGATAAATCAAATGTTAATCAGCCAATTAATCAAATAATCATGTATTCCATTATTCAATTAATTAATCAGTTAATTAATAATGGACTAACAAAAATTTTTCCGCTAAGAGTTAAAATATATTGAGAAGAAAAGTTTAATGTTCATTATATATATATATATATATATTTATATTTATATAAATATATATATATACATTGAGAGAGAGGAGAGAGAGAGAGAGAAGGAGGGAGAGAGAGGTAGGTGTATATATGTATGCGTATTATATCCGATTATGTATGTGTTGGTTGAATGTGGGATTGCCGAGAATTTAAAATTTCGCTAAATTTTTTGGTATATTTAATCGATGTTTTCAATTAGGAATGTTTGTTTTTTTGCTCGTTGTTATCTCTGATGTGTGTTTTTGACTTGTATGTGTACATATTTAGATATACACTCTGTAACTTTTTAAAGAAAGACATTCCGAAGACGTATAGGAATTATTCTTCACGATGGGACCCGTGTCTTGTTGGTTGCAACAATCCAGGCGTGTCTCTCTCTATGATTGTTGAAAATGTTTAAATGCAAATGAATGCTGGCAGTTTGGGCGACTAATCCTTGTACGTATTTGCTAACGCTCATACTACACACACACACACACACAAACAAACAAACACACACACCTGTTGTACTTATGTATTGCATGCGTATATAATGGCGACGATCTGAAAAACAAAAACAAAAACACAGAGCACTCAGAACTGAAGGAGAAAGATATAAAAAAATAATAATAGCAATAAATAATTAAACGATGATAATAATAATAATTAATAATAACAATAAAAATGAAAATAATAAAATCAGCAGTGATATTTATGCAAGGCTACTGATACATATGTAATCCACGCGTGTGGTTTTACTACCTGTAACAGTGATTGTCCGTAAAACTTTCGAGGACAAGAATACCTCTACTGCTACTACTACTGCTACCACTACTGCTGCTACTACTACCTCTGTTGTCACTACTACTACTGCTGTCGCTGCTACTACTACTACTAAGGAGCCTGTAAGAGCCCTTTTGAAGCCCGAGTGGGTATAAAATATTATGTGGCCCATGACCTTTTAAAAATCTTAAGCGAGAAACGATAAGAATCTATTTTTAATTAAATAAATTGATTCCAGTACCAAATATATTGATACGTTGAAGAGAATTAATCAAAAGATTGTGTCATCCTTCTGGAATTTGGACACAACTTCTTCGCGCCAAATAAATAACACATGTTTGTAGAAGATAGATTTCAGCTCGATGATGAAACTTTTCGAAATAGTTTGCCAAACCTTAAGTGTACATCATACTAACACAGTAATGGAAAGATTTGATAAATAAAAACAGAGAAATTTATAAAAAATGAATTTGATTGGCAGGCGAATTTCTTAGTTGAGGATAATGCAAAATTTTTTGCTATAACCCATCAATGTTGAATGTTGCTAGGCCATTACACGTTGTAAGTTCGTAAATAATAATTTTCCATACCTTTCAGTGCAACTGAACATTTTGTCATTTTCAACTACGGATTGGCCGCAATTTTGAAAGCATGAAACAAAAAAAAATCTCCGAGTGAAACGACCAACTTGACACAGTTCATAAGAATCAAGCCATATTTCTCGATTCACAACACAATTTCATAACTTCAATTCCATTTTTTAAGAGCTGTTTGGGCTATCTTCTGCCAGCAACATTACACGCTTTGTTAGCCTTCCTTCAGTAACTAACTTATCATCCAATTAGAACGAATTCGATCGTAAAAAGAAGAGACTGAACTTGTGAATGCTATTAAATTTTGGAGAACGTCCATTATTATTAAATAATTCTGCCTTCGTTTTGAAAACTTTATTAAAAAATAATCAGTCAATCCTCGTCCAGAGATCCAGTCCCCCGAGGAAGGGCGCTGTTTTCTTTGCCATCAATTTTTGGCGCCAAATTTATTTATTTATTAAAAAAAGAGATGACATAAAACTGCGTCCGCTACTAACCGCACGAACAAAATCCGCAAACTGCAAGAGACATTTTTTAATCAACTTACTTATAAAACTTAAGTAAATAAATATTAAATAAATATACTACCAATAAAACACACAGACACGTGTATCTAGAACAACAGCGACAGACACACAGACAGACAGACAGACAGACACACAACAACATTAAAACATAACCAAGAGACAAAAACAACAACAAAATAATAATAAATATTAATAATAATAATAACAACAACAACAATAATAATAATAATAATAAACGAACAAGCAGAACACAGGATAAACCAAAACCAAACAACAGCACCAAGAATGGAAAAATCATTATCCTAAAACATAATGAAAATTTTTCAGTCAGGAAAAGTAATTTCTACATTTCGGCAATCTCGCCCATCACTACTACGTCACATCCCTTTTAACGACGACATCATCGCCGTTGATTTTAGAATCTTTTTCCGCTTTTAAACGTTCGCCATCGTCACCGGCTGTGACGTCAGAATGTTTCCGTTTTCGCAGAAACAACTTGTGACCTTGAGAGGTGAAGATTTAAACGATTGTTGTGGTAATAAGCCAAAACAACAACAAAAACATGAACAAAAAGCCAGCAACAACATCAACAACTACGTTAACAACAACATCATCAACAACTTTAACATCATCAATAACTTCAACATCAACAACACCAAACAGCAACATCAACAACATCAACAACTTTAACATCATCAACAACTTCAACATCAACAACACCAAACAGCAACATCAACAACATCATCATCAACAACAACAAAAACAACAAACCAGGGCATTCTTTCAGCAGCTTGAAGACCAGCGACTTGCAACAAATCTTGCATTTGTCAAAAGAGCACTTTAAACCCTGAACGAATGAATGAATGAATGAATGAATGAATGAATGAATGAATGAATGAATGAATGAATGAATGAATGAACGAATGAATGAATGAGTGAATGAATGGTTGAAAAAACCAATGAATGAATGAGCGAATGAATGAGCGAATAAATAAATAAACAAACGAACAGTGAATGAATAAATAACGAACAGAAGTATGAACAAACGAACAAATATACAAACGAATGAATGAATAAACGAATGAATGAATAAATAAATGATTGATTGATTAAATGAATGAAAGAAGAAACGAATGAATGAATTACTTTCGGATGACCGCATGTACAGATTTCAAACTTCACTTTTTTCTCGGCCTGATTATGAAATGCTGGCTTGATGTTGCCGACTCTCTTCAACTTTTTCAACTTGTTGCGAGAAATGTTATTATTATTATTATTATTGTTGTTGTTGTTGTTATTGTTGTTGTTGTTACTGTTGATAACGTCACTGCCGGCGTTGTCGTCATCAGTTGCTTTTTTCATTTGGGTTTTGTTGCTGCAGTGATAGAGAGAAAGGAGAATGTTTGAATGGATGAATCAGTGAATGGAAGAATGGAAAAATGAATGAATGAATGAAGGAATAAATGAATGAATGAATGAAGGAATAAATGAATGAATGAATTGAAAAATTAATCAGTGAATGCATGAATGAAGAAATGAACGTGTAGATAGACAAACGAAATGAGCAATCAATAGATGAATGAATGGATGAATAAATGAATGAATGAATGAATGAATGAGCGATTACATGAATGAATGAATGAATGAATAAATGAATGAATGAAATAACAAATAAATTTAAACGAGTTATTATTATTATCTTATTATCATTATTAATATAGTTACTCTGGTCTGACGTATGGCTGACAAATCCAATATGGCGTTTGTTGCGTTTGATGGCCTGATTGAGAAGACTCCCTCTCGTGCTCTTCAATATCTGCCTGTATGTAATCCATCAATTAGTCAATCAATCAATCAATTAGTCAAACAATCAATCAATTAGTCAATCAATCAATTACTCAATCAATCAATTACTCAATCAATCAATTAGTTAGTCGATCAGCCAACCAGCCTGCAAGGAAGACAACCAACTTATAAATCAACCAGCCAGCCAACCAACCAACCAGTCAGCCAACCAACCAACCAGCCAGCCAACCAGCCAACCAACCAACCAGTGACAATCTCTCGACCTCTGAAACCACGCTCCGAACATCCGTCAACGTCTTACAGACACCCAGGACATCACGTAAATGAGAATGCACACAAAGACTGCGGAATATTTGTACTACTACTACTACTAATAATAATAATAATAATAATAATAATAACGATGATAATAATAATAATAATAACGATAATAATAAAAAATTATTTAAAATAATAATGATTTAACAAAAACAATGGTAGTAAAAAAATAACACCAAAATCTTTCAGAAACTTGACACCAACAACAACAACAACAACAACAACAACAGCAGCAACAATGACATTAACACCAACAACAACAACGAACAACTAACGCATGGTGCATAAGCTTAAAAAGGTGGCCCCGAACGAACGCGATGGGGCACGGGTACATCTCCACAATGTCTAAATACTCGACTGCAAGGCGACAAACCGGAAGTAGGTGATTAGTGAAGATGGCGGGATTGTGCAGACTGCCCTCGGCCACCATGACACCGTGGACCCCGGTGATTGACAGGCAGCGGGCTATATCTTCGAAATATTGGATGTTGCCGTTTGCAAAAACCGGGATTTTGACGTTTTGTCTGTGTGTGCGTGCGTGCGTGTGTGTATGTATGTGTGTGTGTGTGTGTGTGTGTGTGTGTGTGTGTGTGCGTGTGTGGATCATTATCGTCGCATCATCATTATCATCATCGAGTGACCTCTGACCTTACGGCCCTGATATGCTCCCAGCTAGCCAGACCCATGTTGACACCCTTCTGCTCTCTAGTTCGCCCATGCACTGTCAAAAGCTTATTGCGAGAAAATAATAATAATAATATGAAGAAAAACAAAAAAAACAAGAAAAAAAAAGAAGAAGTACAGTAATAATAAGAGTAATAAAATCTTGTTTTATCCAATTCTTTTTAGCAGCATGTCGGATGTCAGATGGAAAAATTTCTGACTCTGGCAAAAATGACTAACACCCTGCTTTTTAGTATCTATATAAAGAATTCCCTGATAGACGGATCTTTTTATTTTTTGACACAATTATCCATTAAAAAATTAATTTATTCAAAAGTTAATTTATTCATAGAACCTGGGCCCCAGCCCTCTCCAGCATTTGTGCATATTTTATTGTCTTTTCGATGTCTTCGAAGATTCTGATTTTGCACGTAATGGGAACTTTGAGTTCTCTGTGACACAAACTGACTGAAAAAGAAATTTTTTTTAAATATTAATTAAATAATTCTCATTAATTTAAATGAATTAGATGAATAAATCAAAACAAAATTTAATTGAATGAATTAAAATATAAAATTAAAGTATTAAGCTAATTTGGAAACAGCATTCAAATCATCATCATCATCATCATTACAATATCATCACTATCATCATCTTTATCATCATTTTGCCTCTGAGATCTTTTTAAAGGGTGCTTAAAAATAAACGAAAAATTACAATTTTTCATCATCATCATCATCTGGCCCATCATCATCATTACTATCATTATCACACCACATCATCACCATAGTCAGCATCACCATTGTCGTTATCATCATTAAGTCTCATCACCATACTAACTAACTCATATCATGCAACAACTGCCAATCATCTTGCAGGTAAGCCCCGTAATGACCCCGTTTAGCTATACTTTGGGGACAGCCAAGGTTCAAATCGACAGCATCACAACTATTCTCGACGTATCTGGCCGCTTTTAACAGAGATTCAGGGTTGTTTGCAGAAAACTGAATGGTTAGTGTACTTGAGTAAAATTTAACAAATTAGGTAGTTTCTTCCTATGCCGTATATACATATATATGTTATATATATATATAAATATTTATTTGTTTATTCAAGGTTCTTAATAAAATAATAAAAATTATCATTTTAATTAGATTCAATTAATATTGTTGATCTCTGTACTAAACACAAACATACGCACACATGCACAAATTGAATAACCAAGAAGGCTAAGAAAAAACCTGCACAATGAGTGGTCTGTCCCCCTCACAACTTGCCATGGCCTCCTTTCGATAAGTGGCGTCCTTGATGAACACCGAAGATAGAAACATCGGCGTGTAACATAGTTCAACCCCATATCGTCTGCTCAATAACCTCCACGCCAGCTCGCTCTGATCGACCATTGGGGCCAAAATGTATCTGGCTCCATTCAGTGTTTCACGCCAAAATTGAAGACCGGACTTTTTTGGTGGCGGTTCCGGATCGGATCCCATTTGAAATTTTTGATAAATTTTTAGAATCTATTCAATTTATTTATAACAATAAGAATTTTGCGAAGTGAAAATTTAAAAATTGTGATCAATCGAGCGATAATAATAAAAATTCACTTTTAAAACACCAAAGAATTAAAAACCACTAGACCATCGACCAGGAATCGTTCACTTCATGTAGTTCAATGGTCATCTATTTGGAGATTGCGTCCAGCTGTCCGTCCACGCTATTGTTATACTTTTGATTTTTCATTTGTCTTTTTGCGTTTTTGAAGATAATTGAGCAAAATTAATTTGGAAATACGAATATTTTAATACGAATGCAACAAACAAACGTATGCAACATTAAAAGCTGGAGATAGATCTTCATCATAATCGTTTTTCAGTTACTGAAATATTATTTTATTAATCAATCACTTATTTGACCAAACAAAATAAAATCGTATAGCATGCTGGCTGGTTCATTTGATTATTTGAAGTCAAAAGTTTAATAAGAATATAATTTATATCAGCAGTTCAAATTGTGGATATTAGCTAAATACATCCATGTTTCTAATGCACAAAGTAATCATTTTTAACTATCATTACGAAGATTACATCACATAAATCTAATTAAATATCTATACGAAACAGTTTTACACAAATGTTTAAATAAAATTTAAAATAAATTCGAGATAAGATATTATTAGTTGATCAAAGTTGTAAGATGACGATCATCATCTTCATAGGGGCGTTTCTTTACTCTGATTAAGAAATAATTGAATCTTTAATTAAATAACAACCAATATTTGTAAAATGATGAATAGTAAATTAACAATTTTACATTAACTAAAAATTTAAATAGCTAAAACTAATGCAAAAAAGATAAGATGCAACATTTAAACTGACCGCCTGGCTACTGGTGGCTCTCTGAAACATTAACTTCTTGTTCTTCACATCTGCTACAGGCGCCACAGAATTTGTAGCAACAACGGCGTCGAGAGAGGCGTCGCTGTCATAACTTGCGTCACCGAAGCCACTTCCAGTGCTGTTGTTCGTCACGTTCGACGTCATCTGATTTGGTCTCACGAATAAATTTTTTGGTTTTTTATTATTCTGCGTGGGTGGCGGGTCCAAGACGAGTCTCTGACTACTGTTTTCTGGGGTTTTCTCGCTAGCTGTGCGCTTGTCCCTGCCAAATGCTTGAGGACACGATTCTAACTTTGGAACCTCTTTAATAGATTTTGCTTTAGATGTGTTGATGATTTGTTGTTTTTGTTTCGGCTTCTCTTCTTCTTCCTCTTCCTCTTCGGATTCTTCTTCATCATCTTCTTCATCATTTTCGCTATCTTCTTCATCGTCGTCGTCATCACTCTCGCTATCAGATTTTTTTTTCAACGGTTTCGGCTTCTTATCGAAATTGCTGTTCAACCTGCTTGTTTGCTGTTTTATTTCTTTCTGATCACTCTTCACTGGCGCGGCAGACGAGTTTACTTTTGTTTCAGATTTCCTCGTGGCAGGAGCTGGGTTGCTGTGCTGTTGTTGAAGCATCTTTCCTTTCGAAGGCAGAGATGCGGGGCCGTTAGATGTTGCATGATGCTTCAGTTTCGATTTGGCAAGTTCGATGTTTTTCATATCGGGCAAGTTATGCAAATTATCAAACGTTTGTGACATCATCTTCTTGGGATTCAGATTAGTATGAGATGAGTGTAAAGAGTTCATCGGCTGTCGTTGTTGATGTTGAATTTGTTGTTTCTTCTTCTGGGCGATGAGTGCCAATTCTTCAGGGACCCAAATATTTTGCTGTTGGTTGTGAGTGATGGCTTCTTTCAAATGGAAGAACCACCAATTGTCAGCCGTGTACGAAACGACGGAGGAGAACAAGTGGCTGTAATTTTTCTCAAACTTTGCAGCTTCTTCATAAAGATGACCTGGATTTTTGTCATAGTGCGGAGCCAATTTGGTTTTCACTGCTTTTACTACCGACTTTGAAACCGGAGAAATGAAAATTACGATAGGATCAAGAGTTGTTTTTTTCACTAAAAAGTCTATGGCTGCTGGAGACATGATGGTAAGTAGATGGCGGTTGTTATTGTTCTCAGATAACGACATTAGTTTTTGCATCAGTTGATAATCTACAGGGGCGTCATCAAATTCAGCATTTTGAATTTCAAGTTGGGCAGAAGGAGGAGGCGTGAAGAAGAGAGCAGGTGAATCCTGGGTTAACATTCCCAAAACGACATCACAAAACAATCCTAATATAATCACTGGACGTTTCTTCAAAGGAGCTGGAGCTTGTAAAACCCGTTCATATCCTACAATAGTCAAACTTGAGTTGAAAGCGTCGGCGCTTTCGTTCAGGCGTCCTCCTTTGTTGCTCAATTTCTCGGCTGATTTAGCTCTTCGAAAACTACGAAGGAAAGCACCATTTCTTGAGTTACTGGAAGTTGATAAGTGCTGTTTGAGAGCTACTTGATCCGCTTTTTGGCGATTCGGTATGAAGCCAACTCCTATGTCGTCGTTTTTTCGTATGGTAGTCGACATTCTTTGAGCTTTCCATAGTCCGTCGTATTTGTCAGGCAGCGAATCAGTAACGCAGAATATTTCACCCTCTCTTATTTTCAATTCTCTTTTTTTGCCGCTTTCGTACGAAAATTTTGCTCTGACGTAAAATCTGTCTCCTCCTGCACCGCCATTTTTGACAATTTCTCTATACAACTCTGCACCTTCGTCAGTCAACACCAATGCAACTCTTTCAGAATTTTGAACAAGCGTTTCAAAAAGTTTGTACATATCCTCTTTCGTTTTGCCACTTATTGACCTTCCGTTGACTTCAACAATTTGATCGCCGGGTTTAATGTTGCCAGAAGAATTTTTCGATACCGTATGTATAAAAATACCGTCATGGTTACCGCCAACTATGGAAAATCCAAGTTTTTTATCGCTGTTTCTACTGACTTCTATCGATCGTGTCCTCGAAAATGTTTTCGTCGGTATGTCGTACGGCACCGATAGTAACTCAGCTTGGTTGTGCTGCATGTTGTTTTCGTCATCGGAACTTTCTTCGTCATCTTCCTCCTCTTCCTCATCATCTTCATAGCTAACTTCATCATTCATTTTATGTTGAAACGATTGAGCTGCGTTTTTGTTATTCAAAAATTTGTTTCTATCAGTATATCTATTGCCATCATCTTCATCGTCTTCATCCTCATCACTATCTACTTCACTACTCTCCGGGGAAGGAGGGACCAACGGCGGTTGTTTAACGGAACCTTTATTTTTAATAGGACCTCTTTTGGTTTCCTCGCGAGTGTTCGTGGACGGCGCTTTCGTTGGTGGCGATTTTTTTATTTCTTTTTGAAAGCCATTAGATTTTTCACTGATTGTGGGAGTTGTCGTGGCCTTTGGTAAAACAGCCTTTTTACCGATTGTGTTAGATCTGTTCTCATCTCCGTCTGTATCTTCAACATGCGGAGTTTTGTGTAATGTTTTAGATTTTGGTTTGCTGGTAATTTTTTCCGCAGCCTCTTTTTCTAGACTTTTGTTTTCATCAGCCGATGTTTTAGGATTCTTTCTCGGTCTTGGAACCGGTCTCATTGGTTCCATTGAATCAAATGACTGATCTTTGTCTGGTTCACTAATTTTGTTAGTATCTAACTTTGGCAAAACTGGTTTTTTGAATGGTTTTGGAGGAGGAAGAGGTCGATCTTTCACTTTTTGAATGTTCATAGAATTTGTCATAACAGGTCTGGGAGATTTAGTAGGAGAAGTTGGTTTTTCAAGCTTTTTTGATGGAGGAGGCGTGCTTTGTGCCATGGGAACTGTTTTATCATTATTGTCTTTATCTTTCAAAAGTTGAGCTTGTTCTTTCAACCACATTGTAAGTTCAGGATCGGAATTATTGTCTTTCTGTTTAGTCAACTGTTCTACTTTTTTCGGTTTCCCCACCTTTTCAGGTATTTTCTCGTTGATATCTGAGTCGGCATTTTCCGGACTGAGAATTTCGTTTGAAAGTGATTTTCTTATCAACGGTTTTGGCTTTGGGCTTTGATTAGCATCTCCGTTATGATGACCAACATTCAAGCGTTTACTTCCAGATTTACTTTTAATTTTTTTCACTGTTGGATTATTTTCAACGTCTTCAGTCTGATTCACAGCAGACTCGGCATTTTGATATCCCAACGATCCCGATCCAACCAAAACGGCAGACGGCGGTCTTTCAACTTGTTTTTCCTTTTTACTTCCGCGCATGGAAAGCTTCTTTTTCGGAAGATTCAACACTCCAATAAGCTGCTCGTAGCCATTTTCTTCGGCTAGATCAGATGCTAATTGGTTTTTAGAGTTGACAGCCGTCACTTGGCAACCGTGAAGGAGCAAAATTTTGATCGTATCCTCATACTGTTCCAATGGTTTCATCGTTAGAGGATCATACTTATGAAGGAAACAACAGTGCAGAGGTGTGTTGCCTACGGAGTCTAGCGCATTAGCTTCGCAATATTTCAACAGCACATCAACGGTGGATGCGTTTCCTTCATTTGCGGCAATATGAATGGGTGATTTAAGTGTGTAGAATTTGCCGTCGGAGGATTTGCACTTATATTGAGACTTGGCGCTGACGTTGTACGACTCACAAAACAACAACACTAAATGGTGGTTTCCTTCTTTGGCAGCCACGTGTACTGGAGCCATGCCATCAATACTTCTGCTGCACCCCACACTGGCCCGACCAACGTTTATTAGTAACTTTACAATTTCCAAGTGACCAGATTTTGTAGCCATGTGTAGGGCGGTTTGACCGTCAGAGTTTTCCTGATCTATATTTTTAATTGAATTCTTTAAAAGTCTCATGACGACTGAATAATTTAAACCGGAAACAGCATGGTGCAAGGGGGTCCATCCTTTTCCGTCCACTACCTCAGCACTTCCTCCATTTTTTAATATCCAATCCAGTGCCAGTAAATTTTCAGATCTGATGGCTGAAATTATAGGAAAGGTGTATTCTCTGAATGATGAATCAATTTCCACTGGCTTATTCAAATCGATTTCGTACTCCGAAACAAAATAAGCGATGACTGACGTGTCGTCGATGGTGGCCGACAAGAGAAGAGGCACATCCCTATTTCCACCAGTAG